GCTTAAGCTTGTAGCATAAGTAGAAGTGTATATACTTATTTTTAGAACAGATGGGAATTCAGAATATGAAATAAATCGCCTTTGCTTGTAATCTATCTTCTGCCGATGCAGCAATGTTGATCAGGTAAGGGGTTGGGCGATTTGACTGTCAAAGAAGATGCCCGTTTTCGTTGGTAAAAATTGGTTATGGGTTATTATATTTTTGTTTCAGGTTGTGATACCAGTTGCTACAGTTAGATTAAGTAAGTGTGATTTATTCTAAAGCTATGTTTGACTTACAAGGCAATATTTCTTACCCATTAGATGTATAATATTTATTGGCTTCCATTTGTTTATTGATATTTTATATCATTAACTCATTTATTTGAATTAGGCCTAACCCGTTTTGCGTTGATGTTTTGCCATGTGGACATCATGGTGATGTATACAAGAAACTAACCTTAACGATTGTGGTTTTAAATCACTGGTTGCATGTAGTCTGTATTGGTCGTTGTGACAACCTTAGCTGGGCGATATGACTTGAAGACAAAATGTACCATTTTGTTGTAATAATTTATGTTTTCGGTTTTTGTAAATGTTGATTATGGATTATCTTTTTTTTTTCAGGCTGTGATATTTGTTTTTGCAGATTGATTTTGTAAGTCAGATTTATAGTAAAATTACGTGTTATCTCCTGGTTTCATTATAAGTACCGGTATTTATGGATGCATTGGTGATCAACAACAGATAATGAAATAAAGTGAATTTTAATGCTCCTATTGTACATTTGTAAATATTTGACAGGTATTCAGTGCATCTGTCATTTGAATGGAGAGACTGGATGGTCTGGTCTAGATGTTTTAAAGTCCCAGTATTATCCCTATTCTTTTTTTTTTTTCCAAATTGAATAAAATTTAATAATGTGTTGCAAAAGTACTGAGCTAAATTGTTACTTTTCATTTTGTTACACAGGGGTTTATTGAAATACGAATTGTGCTGTAGTTATATGTTGTTGAATCTTTGCTGATGCAGCAAGGTTGATCAGACTGCATTAGGGGGTATTAAGGTAAATGTACGCTTTCTATTTATAAATTTGTAAAATTGGTTATGGATTATTTTATGTTATTTCAGGTTTGATCAGTTGTTACAGTTAGATTAAGTAAGTGTGATCTATTCCAAATTATGTTTGATTGCCAAGGCAACAATATATTTTTAGCAATTAGATGTACAATTATGCATTTATTTAAGAATATCATATAGCACTATTGCTTCTTTGTTCAAGTTCAGTGTGGAGATTAAAAAAGTCATTTTTTCTGGTTTGCAAAAAAAACAAAAAATGAAAATAGAATGGTTTAGATTTTGAATTAGCTTGTGAATTTTAATTTATAAAAGAGTGAAAAAGTAGAAAGATATTGATTAGTGT